TAGTCTCTGGTTCCTCGTTTCTACTTTCCCTTTCATTTTCCTCATTTAACAACTCCTCAAAGTATTCCTTCCATCTTCTCAGCACACTTTCCTCACTTGTGATCACATTCCCACCTCTGTCCTTAATCAACCTCACCTGCTGCACATCCTTCCCAGCTTGTTTCCAAACTCTCGTACAACTCCTCATATGCCTTTTGTTTGGCCTTGGCCACTTCCCTCTTCACCTCCCTTGTCCTCTCTTTGTACTCCAGTCTGTACAAGACTGTAGTCTTAGTATTACGAACAACTGCAAAAAAGCCCCCAAAATGCACTAATTTACATTAAAACATGTTGCTATGTCCTGTTTTATGCTTAAAATTAAGAAAATAACATTTTTGTGCATTACTCATTGATCAAAAGCAACCTACTATGTTCATAATTTCCCAAAAAAACTCTTCAAAAATAAAAGTTTACCAAAGATAAATAAAACGCACTAATTTACTTTAAAACATGTTGCTATGTCAATTTTTCTGATTAAAGCAAAGAAAAAATAGTATTTTGGTAAATTATCCATTGACCAAAAGCAACCTACAATGCTTATAATTTCCCCCAAAAATAAAAGTTTCCCAAAACTGAATAGAAAAGCTCTAATTTACCTTGAAACGTAAGATATATTTTTATTAATTATTCATATTTAACTAATACAGCGGATTACTTTTGATTGTTAATTTACATTGGTTTGAAAATAGATGCTAAAATGTTGAGCGATTTTTAAAAATTATAATAAACAATTAGTGAACGAGCAGTTTATTTTATTTTACGGACGTAATTGGTTTGATTTGACTAAAGGGTTTACTTCCTGGTTCTAAGTTAATACAATTAAAGTTTTTTTTAACTCTTAAGATAAACAATTTCACGTGTAATTAAAAAGCTTAATGGTTAAACATGTCAGCGGTTCTATAATTATTTCTACAATACGTAAACATTTTTTAAAATAGGTATTTGTAATATTACTTTTGTCGTTTTTATATTAAATGCCAAACTAAATAAAAGTAAAGTTAAGAGCTAAAACACGGTTTTATAGTTTATTATTTTATTTATTATTTGGATGGCGTAGATTTTATAATGCTCCTTTTACGCGTGTTGCTGATGTTAAAATTAATTTACGAATCTCTTTATTTATAAAGAGAAATGCGACGCGAAACATATAATCTTTAGATTAGTCTCATTTATTTATTTAGTTATTATTTACTTTCTTAATGGAAAAAACGGAGTAGGTAAGAACGCCTTAAAATCAACTAAGTAAATTGACAGTCGATACGAAATAAATTATTTAAAAAACATTTTTTAGTAAAGGTGAGCACCTAAATAAAACCACACGCAACAAATAAATGGAGATAATTTTAAATGAGGGACCTGCCGACTATCCAGGTTATTATTAGTTTCGTTTTTATTGCTATGAATTTTGTGTTATTATTATATATCCTATATTTAAACGGTTTTTCCTACATTTAAAACACTGTGAACATGCAACTAAATATCGCGATAAATATTTTACCTTACGCCTAGATTTTACATTTAATTTCATAATTCCAGTTATATTTAAATTACACGCGCATCTATTTAAATTAAATAAAAAATAATTTTTTAACTATCGCCAGAACCTTTAATTGGGTCGTTCTCGTGAAATCATTTGTACACTAAGGCAGTAATGATTTTAGTAATAAAACATGCATTTTTATAAAATAACAAAACATAATAATAAAGCTGATATTTTTTTCTATGAATCAAAGAGTAAGTTCAATATAAAAATTAATTTTATTTTATTGCATTTCATGCATTTTAAAGGGATACTTAAATATATATTTTTAAATAATTAACATATATATCAGTACATAAATATATATAATATGCAAGATTCTAATTATCCAAAAATAATGGAAGCTCTAATGGACGTTTGAAATGACTATTTCAATTGTTTAATAAAATTCCCATTTCAATGTTTAATAAAATTACTATTTCAATGTTTAATAATCATGAATAAATAGAGGAAAGAATTTCACGAGAATGACCCAATTCGGCTTTAATTTGCGTCAGCGTCGATTTAGTCGAATATAAAAGAGTAAAGAGTATCGCTGTATTTGTTTTTTTATCTACATTTAATGATAAAATAGTATTTTTCACCGTATAATATTTAAGTAAATATATTTTGGACATTTTAGGAAAATAAGAGGGAAAATGAAAGAGGACAGTTTTGAAGAAAGACAAGAAAAAGAAACCTCCGTTTAGAAAAGTTCCATGTTGAGCGTCATTTCCGTGTGAGATCACCGTGTTCGCTCCTTGCTCTGTGTGAGTCTGTAGATGTGAAAGATTTGAAAGTTTGATAAAGAGGAGAGCGCGGCTCTTTTCTCCTTTTCTTTGGGACGTGAACAAAGATGCGCGCACCAGAGGGCTCTCAGTGCACAAGCCTTTGGAGTTCTCACTCTGAGCACGTTTCTGGTGTGACAAGGGAAAGAAACGAGACGAAAGAATGCAGAGCCGGAGTGAATCATCTTGACAGTTGACGATCTACGGTGGTAGGCGCAGAACATCCTGCTTCCTGTCTGCTGCCATGGCAACACATCACAACAACAGCCAGAGCCGAGAGGCTGCAGGAAGAAAACCTGAAGCTGGAGATTGTTTTCTGGTTTGTTAAGTTTTCTTATCCATTCAGAAAGAATGAGTCAGCGACAGATCATTCAAGGTGAGACTCAAGGATGCTACAGATTCATTAAAGGTCACATTCAGGTGATGCCTCCTCGTCATTTGTCTTTGTGTGATTCACAGCATTCGAGCAGTATCAGAAATCAAGGTTGCAGTTTGTGCAAACTGTTGCTGATTTGGCATCCAGACCCCAAAATATAGAAGTCCTTCACAATGCAGGTAAGAAACAAGACAGGGGGCAGTGTGGGTGTTTCCATGTAAGAAGAATGATGAACATTCAGGGCCTTTGCTCTGATGGTTCATAGTTGTAGCTCATGAATGAAGATAATGTGAGTGAAATGAAGACAAATGGAGGAACAAGCAGAGCAGGAATTGTCTGAGTTTACTAAGAAGGGAATACAAGGGTGCAGAAGAAGATACTGTATGTCCAGAATGTTAGGCTTGAGAAGGAATTGTAAAGTCTATACACTAAGGTGAAATTTGAAGAAGAAAACAGCAGTTTGGTGGAGAGAAATAGATGATTACATTTAGAAAGAAACATTTAGAAAAAGAGAAAACATAAGAAACAGAGACGAGAGATTCAGAATTCTAAAGACAGGCGTAGCAGAAAAGCATCTGAATATGGTGCAAGACATGTTGTCCAAGTAACAGATGGGTTGAGGGCTGGAGGGTTTGGACGTGGGCACAGTGGGCAAAGAATGATGGAGATCTCGCATTTAGGCAGAATGTAATAAGAAAGACATCAGTGAAGACATCAGAAAATGGTAGAAGAGAACAGAACAGGAAAAGACGGGACTAGTCGGATAACAAATATTAAACCATTAAATTTTTCGATAATTAAGACTTTAATCATTTATTATTTTTATGAATTAATAGAATAAAAATGAATAATTGTATCTATTATTGTCACTAAAGTGTTATATTATTTTTATTATTATTATTATTTTTTAAAGAGAATAACACCGCTGATTAATAGCATCATGACGCAACGTATTAGCTCTGGTGATTTCTAAAGACCGACAACAACCTTAGAAATATACAAAAATGTTTTCACTACTCACATTTCTGATGCATCAGCTTCTCTTCCTGTAGGTGTGATGTCCATGCTGCGTCCGCTGATGTTGGACGTGGTCCCCAGCATCCAGCAGACAGCAGCTTTAGCTCTGGGCCGTCTGGCTGACCACAGCGATGAGCTGGCAGAGGCCGTGGTGAGGGAAGACATCCTTCCACAGCTGGTCCACTCTTTGGGCTCACAGAACGTCAGTACACCTCACAACTGTGAATGTAAAGACAGAGTACATTTAAATCACATGTGTGAAACACTGATAGAAGATCAACAGCACAGTTTGCACTTTACTACACATGTTTTTATTGAAAATATTTTGGCATGCCTACTTTGTTGGTTAAGATTATATTAATCTATTCTAGTATTCTCATGATTGTTAGGGATGTTGCTGCATATTGAATATTGCATATTCATTTTTTAAAAATATTTTGTAATAATATAAAACACATGATATAGTATGTATTAAAAAATATATAATGTAAACACAGAATGACTAACTCAACACTTAGGTGTTTCAGTGGCAAAATAATCCCATAAAAATAAAGCCCCAAATATGCCTTAAAGGTTTGTGCCCAACAACATGTTGCCAAGTGAATCATTTGTGTATAAAACTTGAAAGAACATGATATCTAAACATGTCAAATATCACCAAAAATAGGTAAGACTGTAGTCTTAGTCTTCTTCTTTTTCTTTCGGCTTTGTCCCTTTTTTTCAGGGGTTGCCACAGCAAATGATTGATTTCCATCTCTCCCTGTTCTCTGCATGTCCTCCCTCACTGCACCCATATATCTCCTCTTTGGCCTTCCTCTCTTTCTCCTACCTGGTAGCTCCATCTCTAACATTCTCCTCCCAATGTATCCACTGTCCCTCCTCTCCACATGTCCAAACCATCTCAATCTGGCTTCTCTGTCTTTTTCTCCAAACCTTCCTGTCTGTGTTGTCCCTCTAATGACCTCATTTCTGATCCTGTCCATTCTTGTCACTCCTAAAGAGAATCTTAGCATCTTTAACTCTGCCAACTCCAGCTCCGCCTCCTGTCTTCTGCCTATTGCTACCATCTCTAAACCAAACATCATGGCTGGGTTCACCCCCCCCCCGTGAACACTTTCCTTT